TCCTTAGAACATATATAAATGGAAGGGGAATGCCTTTGTTTCCCGATAGAAAAACATGTCGGAAGGAAGTAAGAAAGAAAATCATAGTTGCCTCTCTCTTGTGAGTTACTTTGCTCAAAAGTGCGCATGCGCGGCCATGTGTGTGTACACAAAAGTATGTATACTACAGACACGATGCTTGTATGTGTAGTTACTCACAAGAGAGAGGCAACTACGATTTTTTTCTCACTTCCTTCGACACTTTTCAGCCTGCTATTCCCCTTCCATTTATATATGTTCTAAGGAGGAGTCACGCGTCACATCTCACATCACGCGTCACGCGCAGTCGGTCGACGCATGTCCAGGTCGCAGGTCGATGAGTGGACGGGTCGTGGTCGTAATCGTAATCAGCGAGAGAAGGAGGATCACAATCGGATTTCGCGTTTCACATCGGGTCGCGTCAGATCAGGTCAGATTAGTTAATTATCGTCGTTGTGATAAATAATCGCGCGGAGCAGAGATGTTTCACATACGGAGTCTTACGCGATCATCAATCGCCCTGAAGCAAGCACCGGGCAATGACGTCGTGCAGAGCGTGCTGGCGCGCGCTGCGCTGGCTGCCGTTCAAACGGCAGCCCGTCGTGGATATGCCGATCACCAAATTCCAGACCGTCTCAAGGACGTGCCTGAAGCACCGAACCCTAGGTTCTTCGATATGGTGGAATATTTTTTTCATCGCGCCTGCCAAATCATCGAAGACAAGTTGGTCGAGGACATCAACAAACGATCGCGCGTACCCATCGAAGATCGCAAGAAGAAGGTCAAGGGTATCTTGATGCTCATGGAGCCCTGCGACCATATCCTCGAAACCACGTTTCCGCTCAGACGCGATTCCGGTGACTATGAGATGATCACCGGCTATCGTGCCCAGCACTCGACTCATCGAATACCCTGCAAAGGAGGTATGGGAGATGAAAGACATGCACGCGAGTCTCTTATCAATTTTCGAATATCTATTATAGTATCGTGCATTGCGCTTTTTTTCTCATTTTCCTCTATTTTCGATCAAATACTCGGCGAAACTCGCGTGAATCACTTGACATTCGTATCTGTCCATCTCTCTCGAGATATTTCTTCTCGAATAAACTTTACTACATAATGTGTTTGTCCGCTTTTAAAATAGAATACAAAATTTATGCACCTAAAATATAAAGTATACAATATAAATTTATAAAAGAATAAGAAATTTTATTTAAATAATAATTTTATAAAAATAATGCGTTACACACACACACACACACACACACACATGGAAAATTTTATATGAAAGGATTATTTTTAAAGAAATGTTTTAAAATAAACATTTAATGCTCGTTTATTGATATTAATTTGTGATCGTTCGTGCGTGCCCATTTTTTTTTTTTTGCTTGGTCTGAATCTTTGGCTTCACATACCTAAATTGCCTTCAGCCGATGTGTGATAAGTTTGCACTTTTCTACACTAAACGATGCATAGTTTGTGGAATATTCGTCAAAAAGATATCATTCGTACAAAATGTAATATACTCAAGATTTATAGAGAGAGCTTTTTATTGATGAAAATCGTCAACTTATTTCTCCTATTGTTTACTTTTATTACTTATTTCTAGTTTTCTATTTTCGAATAACGATATGAGAATATTGTCATTGACATTTATACGTATAGTTATTGTCTAAAGTGATTTATTTATTGGCGTTGATGCATGATAAACACGTAACACTTACGACAATTTTATGGCTTCGTTGCGCTAACGACTAACGACTTCAGCCTTGAGATCCAACGAAGCTCAGATGTGATGTATATGATAAAAATTTGTGCAAATTTACGCGCATTTCGGTCTACGACTATTGTGTCATGGAAACGGTCTCCGGTAGTAACTTGAACAAAGTATACACATTTTGCATCTTAACTCTAATAGAATTATATGTATGCAATTACACACACACCAGAGTGAAAGCCATATTTTTTCCTACTTTTACACTCTACTTTATACAATATTTTGAAAATGTAGTTTGCGATAAATACGTATGTATATACATATCCAGCCAAATACCTGCGAAAAGAATTTGCTGACAATTACGTGTGTTATAGCTTCGTCTACACATATACGAAGAAAAAAAGAAAAAAAATAAAGATAGCCCACGGCTCTCACGTTACGTTACTGATGAATTACAATAAAAGCGCCTCTACATCACACATCTCGCGCTTCTTAATTACTATCTCTCGTGTGTCTCCGCGCATTGCGGACAAGAGCCAGTACAAAAAGCGCAACGCAATCTATATACTCGTACATATAAATCTATATACGTATAATAAATTCATGAAAAACTTAAATAAAATTTCAAAAGACGTACCAAAGCGCCATGAGCGCTATGTACACTCACTTTACTCACTTTTACACAATGGTATAATTACTATATCATGTTTCGTGTCTGTTACTCAAAATGAGATGAAATTATCCAGACATTGCAAGTTTGTTGTGAGATGAAATAAAAAATTTTAACGAATAAACAAATTCATCGTTATTTATAGGTATCCGCTTCTCGATGGACGTTTCACGGGATGAAGTTAAGGCTCTGTCGGCTCTAATGACATTCAAATGTGCGTGCGTCGACGTGCCTTTTGGCGGCGCTAAAGCCGGCATTAAGATCAATCCTAAAAATTATTCGGAACACGAATTGGAGAAAATTACCAGGAGATTTACGTTGGAATTAGCAAAGAAGGGATTCATCGGTAAGCTTGCATCACTCTGAAAAAAACAACGGAGAAAGCTCTTCTCAGTTGGCCGACAAAGACGAATCTCTGACGTTACATCATCGTAAACGTGTGATGAAGCGATGCGAGCGAAGGCGTGACGTTCGCGCGATAATTTTAGATGCCGTCGCGAGTAGACAATCTGCTGGGTTCTACTGTATCATTCGTAATGTTTATTGCCGCACAAAATTCACCGCTGTTACGTTACAACCTAAACACATTGTAAAAACTGATCTGCCACATTTATTAGCTTGTAACAATAAGCGGAAATTTTTTAATGCGTTTTATTTACTATAGTTTTTACTTGCACAAGATAAAAATAGGATCTTGTATGGAAGAATAGGAGGAAAAAACATTATCATCTTCTTTAAGGACCTGGTGCTGATGTACCCGCCCCCGATATGGGAACCGGCGAGCGAGAAATGTCCTGGATAGCCGATACTTATGCAAAAACTATCGGCCACCTTGATATCAACGCTCACGCTTGCGTCACTGGCAAACCCATTAACCAGGGTGGCATCCATGGCCGCATTTCCGCGACAGGCCGTGGAGTGTTTCATGGATTAGAGAATTTTATCAATGAGGCTAATTATATGAGCATGATCGGTACGTTCGCGCGCAAATTGCTCATTAGTTATTTTTAATTTATAACATATCATACATACAATGTGCGATATTATCGCTCGGATACGATTGTTATAAATTTATGAAGCGATTAAATAGATTAATAGGAATTATGTAAATTATAATTTTTAGATTATATTTAAAAAAAAAAAAAAGATAATTTCTTACATCAGAAAGTTTTCAATTTAGTACAATAAAAAATTATCTCTCTGCTATAGTCTATGTAATATTATCTTACGGCATTTGAATATCTAACAGCTTTATTAGAGAATGCCACAGTATATAAATAAAGAAAGATGTAATAATCTGTAGGTACTACACCTGGCTGGGGAGGCAAGACATTTATTCTCCAAGGTTTTGGTAATGTAGGTTTGCATTCGATGCGTTACTTACATCGTGCGGGTGCGGCTTGCATAGGCGTGATTGAACACGATGGATCCATTTATAATTCAGAAGGTATCGATCCAAAGGTAAGTAGCAAAAAGGTGCACTTATTTGATTACTATAATTATCTAAATTTTTACTGCGAATTAAACGACGGAATTATGTTTGTTTATCGATAGTTACGCTTTCCATGCGTTTCAGGAATTAGAAGAATATCGCATAGAAAATGGTACTATCATTGGCTTTCCTGGAGCCAAGCCATACGAAGGCGAAAATCTTATGTATGAGCCGTGCGACATATTTATACCCGCTGCCATAGAGAAAGTAATTACCAAAGAAAACGCCGGACGTATTCAGGTAAAGCGATTTAACGTTGCACGAAATATATTTTGATATATCGCTTTTTGTTAAACTTTTGATTATCATAGATATATTTAAAAGAAATTGCATTGGTGCATATATATATATATATATGAAATTATATTGAAATATATATTAATATATAAATTAACATTGAATTAAAGCAAATCAAATTACAATACATTGAAATTGACTGACTTGTTTTTTCAAATTATTTTTTTTAGAATATGCATTTTTTTTAATAAACTCGCTAGTGAGAAATAGCTATGTATAAGTACTATATTTTCCATTAGATTTGATAAATTGAAGAAATACAATTTTAAAACAGTCAAGTTTTAAAGCACTTGAGGTGATAATTAATTTAGATCTTACTTTTGTAGGCAAAGATAATTGCGGAAGCTGCCAACGGACCAACCACTCCTGCCGCAGATAAGATTCTAATCGATAGGAATATTCTTGTAATCCCGGATCTGTATATTAATGCCGGTGGTGTCACAGTCTCATTTTTTGAATGGTTAAAGAACTTGAACCACGTATCGTACGGTCGTTTGACCTTCAAATACGAGAGAGAATCCAATTATCATCTCTTAGGTCTATAATTAAATAATTGATACTGACAAATTTGACAAAAAATTTGAGTAAATTTGAAATATAAACATTATCTCTGAAAATGTAATTTACAAATTTATTTTTGTCTGTAGAGTCGGTACAGGAGTCTCTGGAACGTAGGTTTGGTCGTGTTGGCGGTCGTATTCCCGTCACACCATCCGAAGCTTTCCAGAAGCGTATATCCGGTGCTTCCGAAAAAGACATTGTCCATTCTGGTCTGGATTATACAATGGAAAGATCCGCTAGGGTAATTAATTACAGATAAACTACATTTTGTGTAAAAAGCAAAATACCAATACAAACGTTCTCTTTCGTATAGGCCATTATGAAGACTGCCATGAAATTCAATCTTGGACTCGATTTGAGGACAGCCGCATATGCCAATTCGATTGAAAAGATATTTACTACTTACTCAGAGGCCGGTCTCGCTTTCTAAATATTTTAGTCGCAAAATTACATACAGCGAATATTATAACGATAAAGACAAAGTCAGTTTTTACCGGTTGATCGCAACAAGTGACTCGATATATCGACCAATGAATAGATCCGTAGATAACGGTTGATGGTTATGTCAAGTTGCGAATAACAAAGTCTCTCGAAACTCGCGATGGAAGCGTATTTCATATAGCATTGTCATTTATCACTATTTCGCACTGTAATAATTTGCCTCCGTTATACATACATACATATATATACATAGAGAGGGAGAGAGAGAGAGAGATTTGTGTAAATCAGATATTAAAAAATCGCCAAATAACTACGAAATAGCATTCAAAAAGAAATCGATATTGATTATCCTTTCTGCAAGATGGATCACAAAGGTAAAACCCGTGCATTTTTATATTTCACTTTTTATGCATATAACTTAAAATATGAGAAAGTATCGTGTATTCAAGCCTTTAACGATATTACTGTACCAGCAATGAAAAGGAAATATTTATAATTTTATCATTTACGACAAAGAATTGATTTTCACCGAAGCTTAGAAAGCAATTCGAGACACGTATATCTAACTAGATATACAACGCGTGATAGGATTATCATATACATGCAAGATTTTGCTAGTAAAAACACTCAATTTTGAAATTAAGCGTTCATTTACATAGATACCGTAAAATGCAGTTTATGATGTATATCTGATATATCGAGTGCATTTTAATAAGTGCCATCGCAACAATACGCAGTAATTGTCGCGCGATAAAAAATATTGAAATCGCAAAAATAAATTTATAGATTATAATTAATACAGTTTTATTGATTTAAGTTCCATTGGTTATTGACCTTTTTTACGTGTATCCTTGACTCGCCTTTAATACCAGATATAAGAAGAAAGGTGAGTTTTCCCCTTTGCACCCTTTGCAAGTGTCTCTTCTCACGTAGATATATTATTTACGATAATAAATCGCGCACAAAATTTGTACGTATATTATCTTGTAATACAATTTGCTTTTTAACATTACATATCGCAATGTACATATAAAAACGCAATCGATGTAATAATCAATTTCAATTTCGAAAGATTCAAAAGCTTTGTACACACATACAACATGTACATGCATACATATACGTATATTTGAACATATATGTGGAAAGAAATAAACGCATTTGTCTAAACATGTTCCAAATTCCAAATTTTTATTTCAAAACAATGCATTCAAAGATTGAATAATCGTGAAAAGCGAAAAGAGGGATCGTACGCAATCGGATTTAAATGTCCTTGTTCCAATCTGTACATATATGTATATCTGGAAAATTTCGCAATTATATACATAAGGACAATAAGGCGCGAAATACACAGAGGAATGCGAGATATAAATAACTTGTGAAAATAACTGCCAGCAGCGGGTGTGCGCGCCGTATGTGTATGTGACGGTGAACTATATGCTCGCGGGCCGAGGCGATTCGAGGCTCGCGGTCTCGCGCGTGCACTAGCACTACCGTATTCGCTAGGGCCAGGGCGGCGCCCGGCCCGTTGTCTATAAAACATCGCGACGTCGCGACGACGACTTCACTCCCGTCTCTCGTCCTGTCTACTCTGTTTCTGTCAGCGTGTTACGCGTCGTCGGCAGCGAAGCAAGGTGACGAAAATAAAATCCGCACCCCCTAATCGAGCCTACCTACGCGAATCGAATTTTTTGTCAACTTGTTGTCCGAACGTTATCCGATGATTTAATAAAAGTCCAATTGTTTTGACTGCGGGTGCAAAGTTCTTAAAATTTCGGAATGATGGTGGATCTGTAGCAAATTAGCATTTGTGTGATCATCGCCGGCAAGTCGGAGCGACCTGAAATGAAGAACGAAATCAAGTCCGATTAATTGACAAATATGACTAACTCGAGAAGTATGATTAAATCGTGTACTGCATTTGTGGTAGAAATGAGTGCAATCGCATGCAATCATTGATATACATCCACTGTTCAAATGTTGTCTTGTTTGTGCGGTGGTCGGTGGTGCGCGCATCGCAATTGAACGGTTGACATAAACAGAGATGAAAGTTTCGCAGTCCATATAATAAGACAGAATTTTTCGTAATGACGCAAATCTTGCAATGCCGCAGATATAATATAAATATCGAGAATTTCAATGGCAATATTACAGTAACGTTTTGTCTATAATAAAGTTTTGTTTGATGTTTTACAATAAAAATATTACAATGTAATAAAATTGGGAAATTTCATATAGTGTAGAAAGTTTGCAGAATATTTTATTACAAGATTTCTGTGCTATATGGGAGTAAAAGTGTCGAAAAAGAAAAAGCGAGAGAGAGAGAGAGAGAGAATTTCTTAAAAATTTCTCCAAATATTATATACATGTGTTTATAATAAGTTAATATTGTATATTAGATGATATATCATATGTGTAATGTGTAAAAAAAGATAAGGAGAAAATGAGAGATATATAAAACAAAAATGCCTAAATTCTTGATTGGTGAACGTTTCGCTCATGTGCATTCACAAAAACGTTGTCATTTACGGAGTTTCGACTGTTTATTTAGGTGGCGAGGTTCGAATCGCGCATTACTCCTACCGATATACCTATGGCGACCATAAGCAACGGCAATGGATCAACGATGCAGGTTAACAGTCGACCTGATGACATCCAAAGGCGAATCATTGGATGTGAGTTTTCCACGATGACGATTAAGTGAAATTTTTAAACATAACAAGAGTATTTGTATGATAGAGAAATTTTTCTCATGTTTTCGATTTTATCTCATATTCTAATCATTGATTAAAGAAGAGAAAAAAAAAACAAACGAAACGAATAATGTACGTGTAATTTTGCTTTTGTTTTGTTTTTTATTTTTATTTTGTTTGCAACAGCACAAATCGCGCACTTTATTCAATTTATTTCATATCTTATTGCCATCTTGTATTTTTTTCATTAATTTTATTTTATTATCTTGAAACGTTATTTTGAGAAATATGATTAATAAACGTCCTTGTAAGTGTCGCTCTTTTCTTACAAATACAAGTGTTAATGATAACGATTATTTCAAACGTATACAATACATATATGACGGAAGTCATAAACGAAGCTCTATACGTATATCGTTGTTCTTAACCTTAAGTTCGAGAAATAAATTATTTCACGAATGTGTGTAAAGAAGGTCAAATACTAGATACGTAACCAAACATTGTGAATCGCGATATTATTAACTTTAACGAAATGCCGGTATTAAATCTGTGTTTGCTATTGCTACTTTGATGCTCAACGAATGAATGCAGTATCGCGCATTTTGTATTCCCGACGGATCTAATCTGCTGATAAAAATAGTAGTTTTTTTATTTTTGCGCGAAATTTTTGTGCTATCAAAAATATATTTTATTGATTATTGATGTATCATGATTCATAAGATAAGACGCGTACTACAATAATTTATTGTTTATGTCTTTCTGTTTTTCCCACGTTTCCTATGTTTCCTACGTTTCAGTAGAAGAGAGAATTTTTACATCATAATTTCTCACACATCATCTGATTTACAGTAAATCGCCTTATACCTTATTGTATCTCCACTATCGGAAGTAAAATTTATACGCCATTTCGGTCAAACATAGTTAATGAAACAGTTACGCGAGCGACTCATACGAGATTTCAAGTAGAAAGAATCGTGCATAGGCAGTCGATCTTGACGGGCCGCATTGGTCGTTCTTTGTGACTCGCGATCGTTATCCGGTCATATATATATGTATTTAATATGTGCAGGGTGTCCAAAAACTCCTCCCCCCCTCTCTCTCTCTCTCTCTCTCTCTCTCTCTCTCTCTCTTTCTCTGTCTCAATATACTTTTTTCACTAGAAATCTTTCCTCTACAAAAATACCGAAAATGTTTACAGTTTGCGATCAATTATGGAAAATAAGTCTACTAATGAGTTGAGAGCTTTGGAAATCAAATAATACTAATAAATTATATTTTCCGATTGATTTTAAAAACGGCTTTTACTTGAATATATTCATGTACGATTTAAACATTATTTATAGAGATACTTGATATATCTGTGAATTAGTGAAAATTTGCATGTGATGACTTTTCCCAATGTTTTCTCTTAGGAAAAGTAAAGCTCGAATAAAACGAAGAAAATGACTCGCTAGGTCTGGGACACCCTGTACATGTATAGATACAAGTGAACTTGAAACGCATTAGCATTCACCTTGTACGCTTTCTATAGACTCGCTATAAACGCGCATCGTCGAATAAAATATCCAATAGAGATCGAAATTGTCTAGAGACTAGTTTGATTAGTCTCGATTCTAACAATAACGAACAACGTCGCACATTTACCTCGTTTCTTCTGAAATAATGTACGGCGCCACCACCGTAGGATAATTTCTGATAACTGTCTGATAAAGCCTTGTTGTTTCTACTTTCGCAATTGATCGGATGATGATAGCATCGCGAAAGCGACGTAAATATCCATTCTGACAAGAAAGTAACACGCACGGTAGTTTTATATCGTAATATATAGAAGCTGTGTATGCTAAAATTGCTGCATTTGCTACAGATAATAAATTTTTAAGAAATTTAGGAATATTATAAAAAATTCTTTTTTTGCAACATTAAATTTGTCATTCGAACTGTTATTGAAGTAAAATGCTATTTATATCTGTAATAGTATGGGGAAACACTATTTTGCAAAAATTTGTGTACGTATAAATAAAAAAATTAAGAAAGTAATCAAATTTACTCATCTCTTTCTGAGGTGGAAGAAATGCAGATTGATTATTACCGTAGCGATGTTCAAATATGTCGTCTTATCCTTGCGATTAAATAAGATGAGCGGAGGAGTGAATACAAAAGTATAGGAGGAAAAAGTGAACGGTGATTTACCAATGAAAGAAGAATTACATGGGAGTGCGGATAAGGAGATAGAGAATGAGGGACGAAAGAACGGCAGAGGATGAAAGAAGGGCGACAGCCAACAACCAAGGGTGTTGCGAACGCGCATCTCGCGCATGCTGCTTCGACGAGGGCAACAGATAGGGATGAACGAAAGGGAGGTTACTGGGCTGAGAGGGAGAGAGACAGAGAGTGAGAGAGAGGTAGTAACTCGAGCGGCAACATCTAGTCGCAATGAATCGTGTGAAAGGCGAATAACGTGCTCCGAACTTAGTCCATTCATTTTATTCAATTTTGATTCTTGAACAACAATTATCTAAAACAACTAATATCTTTGTGAAAAAAGAAAAAGATAAAAAGAGAGAGAAAGTGAGAGAGCCACATCTCGGTGGTCCCGCCCAATAAAGTGGCAGAACGAGAATCGGGACTAAGATCTGGGATTATTCCGAGATGACAGATGGTAAGCAATTATATTGAGAATGAAAATTGATAAGAAAAAAATTTAACTGAGGTGCTTTTACGGAAGCTCTTATCTTACCTGCCGATTGCGTTTAATCTTTTCCGATGTGCGTGCTTTCGGGATTAGAATGATCCTGTATCTCATCCTTATAATTTTTATTAGAAGCACATAACTTTAGGAATCACTTATGAAAGAACTTATCAAAGTGTGTGTTTATTTCAGCTCATCTATTCTGCTATCATAATTCTGCCTGTATCTGTAAAAAATGTAGTATACATACAAACACTATTTTTTTCGTAAAAGTGTTATTATTCTAAATTGTATTATTACATATATATAATCTCTTTGAAAAATTAAAAAATAAAAATCAGACTGCATCTCTCAGAGAGTTAAGCGTACATCTTATTTTCGTGTATCTATATGCCATCGAAATGTAAACTCATGGAAATTGTATCGATTCTATTTCTTGATATAAATATTTCTTTTTTAAACCGGGAACTAAAAATCTATTTAAATTTCTTTATAAATTTTGTTAGATGTTTATCTAAAACATAATATTGTGACTAAATCACAGTTGAAAAATTTGATTAAAGCTTCGTCTCTGCAGAGTTATCATTTTTCCGTATGTAGGTTGTATGTAGCTTTGCATGTATGACGTATGTATATTGATCGGCGCGTAAAGCAGCCGAAGGCAGGTGGAATCAATGGCGATTGTACGTGTTTACCAACACACACGCGCGCGCATATATTCAATTGTGAAAAAAGACAGTTACCTACATTATTTTATTAATATGTTAGAAAAAATCTATGCGTATCTTTTTAAACTTTTACAGACATTCACAAATAACTTGCATTGTGTGATCCAAAATAATCAATCTGTTTTTTACAACATGTTTTTTGTAACATATCGTCGTACAAACGCGTCCTATACAATTTCATAATTTTACGCATATATTCTAGATTTATTTATTAAAGCAAAGAGGAAATAAGTTAGTAAGAAGAAAACTGCTCTTTACCTACGTATATCTCTACATTTCTAATATACTCTACAATAGGAAAATGCGTGCATGCACTTTTTTGTGTGTGCACGCGCGTATAAATTTATATATTTTAATACAATATATTTCAGATTTATGTTCAAAAATTAATGCTAAGCAATATTGTTATGTAATATTTATCTCATGATAATATCGCGTACATGATTTTCTTATATTTTACGTCCTACGCGATTAATATCAAATAAACATGTTGTGTGTATATGTATACACATACATATATGCGCGCGCGCACACACACACGCACACACGCACACAAAGCTAATCTATTGAATAGCTAAATAAATGTGAATATTATATGATGTACTTCTTTTGTCCCTATAGCGACAGGAATAATGGCAATATCGTTACATACACTTATATTCATTTGCACAAAGTAATTTCACATTCTGCGTAATGATAGACGTTAACGTTATCCAAGAATTCTATACGCGAATGAATTATATAATATTTTTTCTTGGTGATAATTTTTTCGAGAATTGCATTTTTCAATTTTCTAAGAACACGTTACAAAATATTACATTGTTGACAAATATTATAAATCTTCTTTGTTGCCTTTTACTTATTTTTTCCCGGAATAGAACTTTCTGTGATACATATTTCAAAATTTTAAGTAAATAAATATTTTATATAATTAAAATTAAATTTTATAATTTCCTAATTATGATTCTAAATTGTTTAATTACTTTAAATATTAATCAAACTATTCTGATTGTTTCTCATTTTGCAATAATATGTCATTATCTGCCAGATTTTTATTATTAATAGTAAGGAGCGTAAGATAAAGAGCCAAATTCAGATAGCAAGTACTCGAATTAGAAAAATACAAGTTGTGTCAGAGTTACAGAAATGTTATTCTTACAGTGACACTATCGTATATAGTGTATACTTCAAAAATGAGATATTAGTGCCGTCGGTCACACAAATAATTACGACAGTCAATAGCATTGTATATAATTGTGTCGACATTGCTATCTGATAATATTTTGGAACACATATTATCTTTTGATACTGTTCGCCGTTTGATACTATTCAACTCTTGTTCAACTATCGACAAACTACTATAACTGAAAACTAGGTCATTAAAGTCATTGCTTTTAATACCAGACTTTAGAAAATTCGCTAAACTCTTTTCTTCCCTAAATCTCTACACTTAATTTTCTTTCCTATTATAAATCCATTGTAAAAATATCTGACTTAATACATGGTCTGTAAAAAAAATAAGTAAATATTTCAATCATTTATTTTATTCGCGTATTAATTAACCTCCTTGAACATTAATGAGTCACGTTTTATTATTATATGTTGCAGCGGAGGACAGTACGCAAGGAGATGCAACATTATGCGGGAATATTCTTGTTATATTGTCATGGATTATCGTAATTTTGACGATGCCGTTCTCTCTCTTTGTTTGCTTTAAGGTAAGATATTCTTCGAAAAAGATTTATCACATTGTTTACCCAATTGAGCAATAAACATGCGCACAATTATTCTCGCTGCAATCTTATTATTATATCGCAAGCCATTGAGTGATGTGTATCTATGCATGTGTGCAGCTTACATGCATACACGCTTTCATTAACAGGCTATTAATAATTTTCTCAAATCTATGGCCTTTACTATTAATTTTGTGGTAAAATCAACCATTAATTTATGTCGCAGTGTCTAAGTCAAAATTTTTCTTTTGCTTTCAATCTCAATTTTTAATCCAATATTTACTCTGATACTTTAAACAGTCATATCACTTCTTTTCGAAACCATGCATCTAATCTGTTTCATAGTCGAAAATTCTGCTTTTAAAGCTCTTAGTGGGAAATTATTCGTTTATTGTCTATTTGAAATACAAAGTAAAAATCCAATCCTCGAAAGTCATGACTTCGTGGTGTCATTAGATAATTGTAATTCTCCGCTGATCGCCTCTCGCTATGAAGTCATGATTTCTCAGTATATCATTAAGAGTCGTGGTGTCATTAGATAATTGTAATTCTCCGCTGATCGCCTCTCGCTATGAAGTCATGATTTCTCAGTATATCATTAAGAGTCGTGGTGTCATTAGATAATTGTAATTCTCCGCTGATCGCCTCTCGCTATGAAGTCATGATTTCTCAGTATATCATTAAGAGTCGTGGTGTCATTAGATAATTGTAATTCTCCGCTGATCGCCTCTCGCTATGAAGTCATGATTTCTCAGTATATCATTAAGAGTCGTGGTGTCATTAGATAATTGTAATTCTCCGCTGATCGCCTCTCGCTATGTTACCTGAACACTCGTGTGCGTGTAAGTAATCTTATAATTTCATATTTGCTCTCTCTCACGTCACCGATCACATAAACCGTTTATATATTACAGACATTTGGAAATGTGACGTACATATTTTCTGTTATATCCGAGGAGAGTTTCGGCGATGGCGTATAGACACACAGATTACATTACCTTACATCTTTTATATCGATTATTAATGTTTAATTTATTTTTCTGACCTTATATATAATGTGCCTAGACACACCGATTTTATTTTATTTTATATTGTTTTGTAATTTTAATTCTCGGACTTATATATAATGCGAACCGTGTAGGAATTTACGAATTAAACTAGTACGCTGAAGATGGCTCCAAATAGACCCGAAACGTCCGTCCGCTTTACTTGTAACTTATATTAACTCTTTGTTAAAAATAAACTCATATTGCCATTGTTACTCTTTCAGATCCACTAATTAATAAAATCCTCATTTTAATATCTCCCGGAAAAAATGTTTGCAGGTCGTGCAGGAATACGAGAGAGCTGTCATATTTCGATTGGGGCGTCTTTTATCGGGCGGTGCCAAAGGCCCTGGTAAGATATTAAAACCATCGCGTTAACTCATTTAGTTTCACAAAAAGCGGACACAATCTGTTTAACTTATTGTCACACAACATTTGTGATCGCGCGGTTATATGTATAAGAAACTTTTATAATTGTATGATTTTTTAACACATAATGTTTTATTGTAAAATTCATATATAGTTAAATGATTTGGTTAGGAATATTATGCAATGCTATCTTTTCTCTTTATTATCGCGCAACTCTTGAACCCTGTCAATTATTAAAGGAAGCCCTAATTATATTTATACTTCTCTCTCCTTTTTAGGAATCTTTTTTATTCTGCCCTGCGTGGACAATTATGCGCGCGTTGACCTACGAACGCGAACATACGATGTACCTCCGCAAGAGGTAAAATCTAATTCATAAACATATATATATTTAAAAGTAATAATGTAGAAAGGAACACACACGCAAACTAACTGGTAGTTTTTGAATTTTCAAATCTCTCTATTGCAAAATATTACCGAATATGTATAATATGTTATGCATAATGGAGTAACCAACTGTTGAAAAGCAACTGTTATAATTATTGACATCAATTGTTTTCTTTTTCATTTTTTAAATTGTTGTGAAATTTTATTTCTGAGCTCTTCTCTCTTATATATATATATATATATATATATATATATATATATATATATATATATATATATATATATATATATATATATATATATATATATATATATATATATATATATATATATATATATATATATATATATATATATATTATACACATATATGTGTGTGTGTTTGGTGTGTAAATAGCAATTTTTACATTATTTATGTAGCAAAGACGTACGTCTACCTGTTCAACTACAACGAGCCATGGCGGCAGAAGCCGAAGCTGCACGTGAAGCACGCGCTAAAGTAAGCCATGTTAATAAAAACTTTTATTATTTGATTTGCAACGTTAAATTCATAATCCTGTAATTATTTGCTTAGGTGATTGCCGCAGAAGGTGAACAAAAGGCTAGCAGGGCTTTGAGAGAGGCGTCGGAGGTCATCGGTGATTCTCCGGCTGCTTTGCAGCTCCGTTATTTGCAGGTAAATTATATTATTATCATTAATTTGAGATATCGCGATTAATTTATTATTATCGATTAGACGTATTGTCAAAATAATCTACCATTGCTATCACTGTCCTTGTGTGTATATATCTCTTTCAAATTCTTCGCATTTTTCTCTTAATTTTAGACACTGAACACGATATCGGCGGAGAAAAATTCTACCATTGTGTTCCCGCTACCGATTGATATGCTGACTTATTTCATGAAAGCTCCGCCGAAGGAATAATCACGCAAAAGAATGTCACGTCTGCGAGATATAATAACAGACAAAAAAGGAATGACAGTTTTCTTCAAACTCTCTAAGAAATAAAGAGTTTCGTTTGACGATTTGTCCGTATATGTATTTGATAAGCTTGCATATTATATATCTTAACGATGGAGAGTTGCCAATATTTGACCAATTTGACAATTTCAAATTAAACAGCTGTAATCGTAAAGTGATTATATTGTATAATGCACAGGGAGTACTTGTAACTTGTATTGTGTATATAATTTCGTCGCGCAGGATCGACTCGAAGAATTGTATACAGTATAGACTGAAAAAAAACATATTTTTGGAAAATCTTACAAAGTTACTTTACACACATTTACGTGCTGTAAAACGTATATAAACGTTTGCTCATAGCACGGATATAGAATGTAATTGAACGACATCGATATTTGCGTATTTTCCAATTTTGCGTATGTATCCCAATTTTGACACGGCAATAATTCCACTTGTGTTAAATATATGTATATTCGTAGTTAACAGTTAAATGGTGGAAAATATATACAATGATTAAACACAGATTAACAATCCGTTCACAAATCTCGCACTGCCACTAACATCAAATTATACTTGTACAACTGCGATTAATTTTACGATATAATTAACTGATTACTATAAACAAAATTTATTTCGCACAATAATTAGTCGATAAATGTTAAGAAGCGGTTATTTTTACTTCGGTAATTTTATAAAAGACATATGCACATGACAATATTGAATTATATTATCAAAACTGATTAACACAATCAACAATTCTTTAAACTTTGCCTATTTAAACCTAGGGCATTAAACCACGTTTTGTCAAGTTCAAATCAACAGATTTAATTCAACATATATATTTTTCGATAACTTAAGGATAATAAATTTTACAGTCACTAGGAATACCTGTACTTTAGAAGCCTGTGTGATTATTTGGTCCAACATCGGCAACTCTTACTAGCGATATTTATACATACATTGTTTATTTGATTATAATATATTCACTAATACATATTTGGATATATGACTTGTCTTATAAAAAAAATGTCTCTCTCTCTCTCTTCTAAGAAATGGTTATATCTGAAAAATTATACATTCAAAAACTGGTTCCTTTCTGCATCATTTATGCTAAACAATAGCTATCCAATTAGGCTAATGACAATATAAGAACGCAATGTAAATATATTTCGTCGTACACATATCATTAACTGTTCAATAAATTAGAAAAATAGAGAAAGCCACGTGCTGGTTATTAATGTGTTAAAAAAGCGCTGTTAATTTATGATATTCCAATTTGCTACTAATGGATATCTATAAAATCCTAAACTACTATTATTTTATTTCAAACTTGCTTTGCCATCAACTTGTCATCCTTTTAAGAATGTAATAATAGGCATCTTTTGTGTCTATTTTTATTTACATATATTATAACATTATATATAATATTATAATTTCTCTTATTTTGATTTTTCATAATTTATTATTATTATTATTATCGAATATTATTATTATCAGGCTACTAAATAGTTCTTCAACATCTGTGAACATATCATTGTTAAGTGATTATTGTTTGAGTCATTGATCATTTAAACTAAAAATTATGCTAAAATATTAATTAATTCATTTTTATCTACAATTTATCTATCTATATTCATACCTATCTATATTCACATCTATCTATATTAGGTATTGACAAAAGACAGCGTTACGGTATCCGTCGACGCAGTGGTTTACTATCGCGTTAATAACGCGACAATTTCGATTGCGAATGTGGAAAACGCGCATCATAGCACGAGACTACTGGCCCAAACAACCTTGAGGAATACTATGGGGACGCGACCGCTTCATGAAATATTGAGCGAACGTGAAACAATCTCCGGAAATATGCAGGTATGTAAAAAAAAACTTGACGCCGACTAGTTTTTTAGACCGTTCGCGCATGATCATATTATTGATGTATCCAATTTTTGAGAATCATGTCAAAGGGCTATAATGTAGTACAGTTTTGGATATTCGAAACTTTGCTAGAAATTATTTTAATATATATGATACTTTCACTCATTTTGCGACTCTTAATCAGTTATCCAGCTTGAAATAAAATAAAAAATAACTTTAGGTTTACCAATACGCGATGCGCAACGACGGAATTATATAGCAGTATATAGCATTGATTTATAAAATATGAATATATTCAAATTATAAAAAGCAGTGTGTTCAAAAGAATTAACATATTAAAAAATAATTATAACGCATATAGTTAAATGTTTTATTTATTTCTTAAATAGAGATTTAATACGTAAAGTTCTTAAATTAAACAATGAATATTTTTTGGTCATTGCACCTATAAAAATTTTTTATCATTCACTGATACTCTTCAATTTGAGATGTGACTTACAATCAGATCTGTTAGTATTAGCTGGCTTGAAACCCATATTAAAATGGGTCAAGTTCTTTAGGCTTGATATGTCAATATAGCACGTAAAAAATACTCTAAGAAAAGAAATGTTTTATAATATATATTAATCACATCTTAACTTAAATATTACAAATATATTAGATTTCTCTAGACGAAGCCACTGATACGTGGGGAATAAAGGTAGAACGAGTCGAAATGTAAGTAATGTAACACAAGTCACTTTTACTGTATAATGGCAATAATAATTAATTGTATATTTTATAACATTATCTTATGATAATATAATAATAATTATCACACATAATAAAAAAAAGATCAAAAAAGTCGGATTATACAATATAAATGATCGGATTATATGATCTCGAAGAGAATATGCAGTATTATTGAGAGAGATGAAACACAATAATTGAAAATGGATAAGCGACATATACATATATTTGTTAAAAACACTTATAATGTAATAATATCGCATGATCAAATCAAAGATACGTGTGTATCAATGTACTAACATTTTTACATATTTGGCCGACTATGTGTTTTATAAAACCAAAGATATTTTATTTATTTTCTATTATTCTATTTTTCTATGAAACTGATGCACATCCGCGTCTGACTCTTACTAGCCCGCGATTATTTGTGATTTTATTTATTTATTTATTTTATGTTGTAAATATTTTCCATGCTTGTAGTCGATGTAAGAGAAATCAAGTTTTTATATTTCAGCATGATAGCTCTTAAAAAGCAGAATTACTGAATGTATTGAATTATATTGAATGAAACAATGTGAAAATTGTCGTGATGTTTCAAAAGACTTATAAGGAAAATTCATTATAACTGTGATGGCCGTTAGACTGTATGATAAGGTCAGTTTATACTTATCTTGACTGACACTTTTAAATAAGTAGGTTGTGGTCGCGTCTTACTCTTCCGCATTTAAATGCGAGAAACGGCATCTCTATCTGATTAGAGTAGACCACAATATATTTTGACCAATATAATGTGTAAAATAATAATGAATAACGATTGAATAATGAATACCGATGCACAGTTAAGCGATATAATTAATGAATTTAACATTATTTCTGCTAAAAAGCTTACAACTACATAGTAATTCACGAAATTGAGAGAGCATAAATATTTAGGAAATTTCGAAAAATTATTCAAAGGATTAATTGGAAAAATCTATTGTTTTAGGAATATATAATATTTATATCCTCTTGTGCCCTCAATAATATACAATTTATAAAAACTTATTTTATATATCGTGCTCTTTGCTCTCTTTCTCTCTCTCTCTTCTCTCTCTCTTTTCTCTCTTTTCTCCCTCTTTTTTTTTATCGAAAATCATATTATAAAATTTTTAAGACACCTGATTACATTTTCGTGAATAACTGTGTGTATGAGTACACATATACATAATGAGGTCATCCGATGCAGCTTCGGCATTTATGTAACAACCACTTTTCCTATTCACTTCCCCCCTGCACACACACACATATATACATCAACCACATATAATATACGCGCACACATGCGAGGGTAATACGTATATCATTCTATAATCATATTTAAATATTACTAATTTTATATATTTTATCACAAAGAGATGGAAAAAGCTACCTCTGTTTTTGTTAAATGTATAAATGCTTGTATACATCTATAACTTAAGCGTTGGCTTAAGTCCTTTTGGTGAGTCTACCAACTTGCAGCTGTTAATGATTCGAAGTTTGTGAAAGTTTTGTGAATATTATAATGTTGTAATTATAATATTTTACCGCTATTATTCTGTACATTAGATCAATGAGTTACACGATAACGGAACATTATCACAATAATTTTTACGGCGGTTATTATTATCGTATTGTTTTTATTGTTCTTAACACTTTAATTATTGTATATTTTACTATATGGATAGGGAAATTCTATATAAGAATAGAATATCTATTAAAAAATTTAAAAAGATGTATCTTTTTCTCTTCTACGGGATTGTTGTTTAATCTACGATAATGTGCGCGATATAATAAATTTAACACATCTGCGCGTTGAAGAAGATATATTCGTGTAAAGAAAAAAACATATATGTTACAAAAAAATCTGTGTTAAAAATTTTAAAATAAAAATTGATATTCCGCAAATGTGTTTTAGTCTTTTAATTTTACCATGGTCCTTATTTTAATTTTGTTGTGCATGGTTGTTGCACATAATTAAGACAGAAACCTTTATTTCCGACATCGCCTGGTGCCTCGGTACTGTCCGTGTGAAATATTAATCGGAATGGCTTCACAGTACCTAAAAGAGTAACCGAAAAAACTATATAAAAACTGATGATATGTATAACTTTAAAAGTGTTCACAACTTTTCATTAAAGATAAATTTATATTTATTTCAATATTATATTTAAAATAATATGCAAAATATTGAAAGAATGATAAAAAATCTTATTATTTTTAGTCTATCTTGAGAATACATATAGTATACTACACGAAACGTGAGCACGATTTATGTGCTTAAGAGTTTTAAGAAAAATGTATAATATTCCATAACATACACATACACACACACCCACACACCCACCCACCCA